GTGCCAGTGAAAGGCAGGCAAATGAGTGGGACAGAGGGCCGACACTCCCTTATGAGGTCAACAAGGACAGAAAAAAGAGAGGGGTTTGCAGGTGGGAGGCAGAAACATTGCTCGTTCCACAGCAAATGACCCGCAGACAGATAAGAACAAAAACCAGGGACAGGCCCAGAAACCGTGAACGAGCCTGAAAAACCTGAGTGGGCGGTGGTGGCGCTGTCACACCCTGCACATGCGTCACTGCGGTAGCACCGGGACACCCTCTCAGCCTCCTGCACTAGTCCTGCCCCGGGATCTGATGGGGTGGGCAGGCCTGTCAGAAGGAGCACGTTCCTGAGACTCATGCTTGCACGATGCCCTGTGGGAACAGGATGTTCCCATCCGTCCAGCGTGGGGGACAGAGAAGGGTAAGGTGGGCAATCAGTGAGCTTTTATCGGGGCAGGGCCACTTTTGAGTCACCACAGAGGAAGCTGGAACTAGAGGAGCGAACCAGGGCCTGTGTCTGCCCCCGCCTCGGGTTCTGCACACGGAAGATCCTGAGCAGCAGCCAGACCCTCTGGCCAAATGGGGGGTAAGAGCTGGCCTGACACACTCTGACAGGGTCGCCATCTCTCTGGCATAGTCTGGTGACTCTGGCAAGGGCCTGCTGCCCGGAGGACTCAAGTACAACTAACACAAGTGCAACAAGCTACGGACAGGACAACTGCGGGGCGTGGCCATGGGGAAGTGGGCAGGGCCGAGAGTTATCTGCTGCACACACTTCCAAATGGTAGGTACCCAAGCCTGCGCTGGGGTGTCCGCAGGAAGTAAAACAGACAAAAATTCCCCCTCCCCCCTCCCCAGGGCTGCAGATGTTTCCATCCAGTTAGAGGGGGGCAAACACACCAGTAAACGTGTACAATGTCAGGGATCAGTGCTGTGGGGAAAAGGAAGGTTGGCCGGGGGCTGGGAGAGGGGTGGATGGGAGAGAGGAGGGGGCAAGGAAAAGGATGGTCAGAGTTGGGGAATACAGCATAAGGTGAGGTACTGTGGTTTGCTCTTTAACCTTCAGAACTTTTTGGACCTCTGCTCTCCATCTATAGTCCATACAAGGAGAGTGTCCCTACAGAGCCTGGTGGAGGGAGAGAATTTGATAGAAGGAGCCAGTGAGGTACACACACGTGCAGAATGGGGAAGGCTGAACACAGGAGTGGGCAGAGCAGAGAGCACGCCGAGGGTCACGGGTCCTCCAGGAGCGGGCCACCCTCTCAGAGATGCGGCCTGAGCAGCTCTGTCTCCCACGTGGGGCCTCCCTGCACCCTGCTCCCTCTCGCTTGTTTCTGACTCCAAGTTTCCCCTCCCGTCGTCTGCATTGCCTAGAATGCTCTTTCACTTTTCTACTACATGTGGTTAATGAGAGAGGAAGAAAGACATGACAGAAAAAAAAGAAAGGCATGTCGAAGTGAGCATAGAAAATAAGATATACAGAGACAGCGAAAGCTAACCATGAAAGCACAAGAGAATTGAGAGACACAAATGAATGAATAATGACATAATGGGAGAAGCTAAATTTACGGGCTGCCCAGGCCCATACTGATGTACAGGTTTCTTTAAACTTTACCACATTCCCATTTTGCAGATGAGGGAACTGAGACTGGGACAATGAAGCTCTTGGCCAAAGATCAAGTCATGGGCTGAGCGAGAAGCTGGCCACAGCTACCCCATCACTGTACTAAGTGGGGAGGAAGGACAATTATCCAGATTTTGGGGGCCCTGTGGCCTGCTGTGCCACGAGGAGTTACTAGGCTCCTTGTAGATGGCTCCTGGTTAGACGGCTTTTAGACCATCTAAAAGCAAGCTGTTCCATTTATAGGAGAGGATCTCGTTAAGTCAACTAGATAAACAGAGATGCCGATGTAGTGCGAGTAAAGTAATAGAGTGGGTTTTTCTTTTTAAGAAACAGTTTTCACTTCAGAGAGGAGTCTGTTAATCTCATCATTACCTTAACCAATTCTTTGCACTCCTAGGATGTTCCATTTTAACCCCAGAGAACTCAGGGATTAAAATGGCAACACCTGCATCTGCATACAGTGTGGAAAAGTACACAATTATTGCACGAAATGAGGTGAAACTGGAATTTACTTCCACAAGTTTTTGTTTCCCGAGCAGAATTTTGCCTTTTCCTAGACACGCTCTCGGGACCTTTCTGAGGGAATGGAGGGCGGTTCCACCCTGCACCTGCCATGTGGGGAGTTTCTACTCATCCCTCTTGTGAGGTACCTGGCAAGAGCCAGGAATTGGCTTTTTAGTGGGGGAGGCAGTCTTGACTGGGGCCCCAAATCTTGTTGTGTGTGAGGAGGCATTGAGATGGGCTGGCAGATTGGAACCTCTGGTCAGAAGCCTGTGGACCAGAGTACAGACAGGGCTCAGTGAGGCTTAGTTGCTGATAAGCAAGACAGTGTGTGATTACCTGTATCTTTTATTGAACACTTTATGCCATGCGCAGACTACTCTTGAATAATAATAACCCAAATTACAAATTAAGAAAGTTCTAGAATAAAGCCTATTAGAAGTCAACATAAATAAAAACTTTGTATTTCCTGCCCTGATTTCACACTATGTCCAAGCAGATGGCAGGGGCCTTTGGTAAGTGTTTTCCTTCTTTAGTTTTGTTCAGTGGCATGTTACTAAAAACCTCGGCTTTCAAAGTTTCTTCCAAAGACAATGGGGGTGGGGGAGGGGTGGTGTGTGAAGAGATACCGAATGGGGGTGGGACGGTCAAGGAGTGACAGGGAACGCCCCCTCCAGCTCCAGCTCCAGCCACTCGTTCCTAAGGACAGTGGTACCAGCAGGACCATTGAGAGCCAAGGACGTCAACTCCAGGGTCTGCCGTGTCTCAAAGGCGTCTGTTTAAACTGCGGAGGAGACAAGCTCCCATCTGGCTGGAGTGTCTTCTCCAGCAACTGCTCTGCACTCGGCTTTTCCTTTTCTCTATGGCTACGAGTAAGAAGAGGGCGCATCAAGCGGATACTGACTTTTCCTGCAAACATTTAAAAAGCTGTTGGTGTTTTTCAGTGATCAACAGTTAATATAGATCATGTTAGCAACAGGACTGTTTAAGAAAATAAGATTCAACTATCTTTTTTAAAAATAGCTCTTTTTAAAAGATTTTATTTATTTTTTAGAGAGAGGGGAAGGGAGGAACAGAGAGAGAGAGAAACATCAATGTGTGAAAGAAACATGGATCGATTACCTCTCATACATTTCACAACTGGAGACCAGTCCTGTGACCCAGACATGTGTCCTGACTGGGACCCAGTCCCCTGACTGGGAACCAAAGTGGTGACCTATTGGTTTGCAGGCAGGTGCTCAATCCACTGAGCCACACCAGCCAGGGCAGATTCAATTATCTTTTTGTTTAAAATATCATTTCCCACTTGTAAATCTAAGATGAAAACACTAAAATTAGTTTTGAATGTATCAATCAATGATATATATATTTGAGACAGAGAGAGGCTGTCCTTCCAACTGTATCTTAAAACCAGAAGAATTAGAATTTTGGGGGAGGAAGAAAAAGAATTTAAATGTTCAAGAAGACCCATCCTTCCCCCCACATCAGTGTATCTGCAGGATGCGAAAGATCAGGACTTCTGCCCCAAGTTAGAAAAATATGTGCTTAAGGCAAAAACATTAATAAGGGTGAAGACAGAAAACAGAAAAGAAAAAAAGAATTAAGGCTTTTTATGCCCCAAATTAGACCTGTCACTGCTCAGTGGTGGGAGAAATGTCAAGAGCCATATAATGCAATTCTTCATCCTCACACTAAATATGGAGGGTTGAAATATTCCATCCTTCAGTTCAATTATAGCATGCAAATGCCTGAGCTGCTTGCTTTCTAAAAACAGAAGCAAGCCAAACGGACCAAACTAACACAAATGTATATTTCATAGACACACATTTGTCCTCATGGCGGACCAGAAAGCGACAGAACAAAACAGGTTTCCCTGGCCAGCTCTGAAAAAGGCCCATCCTGGTTCCAACAGTCCCTTGGGCTACTGGCTCTAAAGGAAAGAAGAGTTTAAAAGAAGAAGGCAATTCACAGTGCTCTGCTCCTGCCTCTCCTGTCCATCCTGGCTCTCCAGGATCCAGCTTGCACACTGTCAGCCCGTTTGCTGGGGTCCGACCTCTCTCTCCATCCCGTCTCTCCCGCACTGAGAAGCCTCTCAAGCCAGGCAACTGGGCATCGGACTCTCCTCCCAGCTGTGCTTGGAAAACCCATTAGGGTAAAGAAAATAAGCTGTCATTTTCTGACCATGTTGGTTTTTTTTTTTTTTTTTTGCAGGCTGTTTCTACCAGGGCTCATCTGAAATGAAGATAGCAGTCTTTCCAGTTTATAAATACACATGGGAAAAGCCACTAAAACTCCCGCCAACTTTCCATATCTTTTTGTTTGGTCTGGTGAGCGGGGTCAAGGCTGTGACCCGAGGAGCAGTGGCAAGGCGGCCGGGTGCTCCCTGCTCCCAGTGCATAAACAAAAGCGACTGGATGGTGTCGCCTGTCATCATTTGCTTTCACAGCTGTCTACACATAAACCAAAGGGGTTAGCATCCCTGAAAACAAAAGACAAAACCCAGAATGTGAAGCAGGCGACTGTTTCCCTTCCTTGGAGACAGAAGTGCTCTGATTGCCACCCTGCATGGAAAAGTACTCTCAGAGACACCAGGAGGTCTCCAAATGCCAGACTGCACGTGCTCTGTTTTTCTTTCCCTGAACCTGGGAATCTGAAGCAGAAGGGGGTCCCGTTCTCCAGAACTACATTACTACACACATAGGTCTTTCTAGGCATCAGCATCAAGCAAACGGCTTTCTGAGGTTCCCAGTGTGGTCTGATCCAAAGCGAGCCACTACACATGGAAAGTGAGTCAATTTGCCGTCTCGTTACTTCACAGTCAAAGACGAACTTACACTGCACTTGCCCACCAGCCCTTGGACAACAGAAGAAAGAAGGCAGAGGTTTGCTTACCTTAAAGTTGTGTGTCTTCTCATAGTTGAAGTGGTTGTCGTTGTGCGTGAGGGCAGCCCTCCTGACCAGGGAGGAGATCTGTGGACAGGCAAAGAGTTTGAGAGGGGGCCAAAGAAAGCCACCTTTGAGTCCCACCTTCACCCCCAAGGCCACAGCCAGCAGCTCCTGGCGTTTCCTGCCCTGCTTAGGCTTCCGAACCACAGCACACTTTTTCTCATTTTCCAGCCACAGTTCCTCCGAGAACATAGTGTCCCCTGCAGAGCCCGGGGAGCTCCGGCTGTCAGGTTTGGGGAACCGCGGCTAATGGCTAACGTTCGGCAGCAGATTCGAGGCAGCTGCCTCCGTCCTGTCTGCGGAGGCCTCAGACATGTGACCTGGAAGGGCCGGTTTGAGTGATGGAGGGGGCTCTGCCTCTGAATAAGGACAGGCCTGTTTTGTGCTATTTCCTAAGGCCGACGTGTGCCTGGAACAATAGCACACATTCATGGGCACAGCAACCCCCAGATGCTGTCGCCAGTCAGCCACTGAGGAGTCAGTGGTGGAGGCAGGGGCAGGCAGCTCTAGTCCCCCTGCCCCAGCACACTGCCCAGGAGAGAGCCCTCCTGCCGGCTAGCAGATTTCACTCGCACAGCTAGCTCTGGTGTTCAAAGCCTGTGGCTGCATCCAATTATTTTGGGGCTCCAATCCCCATCCTGGGCTGAACTCCAGCAGATTAAACCTTTAAACCCTGACGATTGTTTAATTGTATAGGGATCAAGCCTGAGTCTTCTTTTTGAAAATCTGCCCCAGCACTTGAAAGTGCAATTTTTACTTATATGCATGCTTTAAATTAGACCGGAGACCCAAGTGGGACATGGAAGGGGTTAGCATTTCAGCCCTGAGCTCTACAGCCAAAGTTTCAAAATGACACGTAGGATATCTGCTCCAGGTTCCCCTCGCCCCCCAGTATCTTCTCCCTACTTGCTACAGAACCCCCCACAACCCACACCGACAACATTCCTTAGCCAAAACCAAAAGTCACAGTGGCTTTTCCTTGAAATAAAACAACTTCGATGTTCATTTTGTTACTGCACAAGCCTAAAGCCTTCCTTGCTCTTCAAAAGGCATCATCTGTTTGATGGGCTCTCTTGGGACAATAAATTTTTGGTCCCAGATCTCTCCATTAATAGAAGTAAGAAAATCATTACATCTTGGGGGAACTCCTGATCTGTTGGCAAACTTTGCTGCAGCTAATGCCAGACAGTGAAGTCAATGCCTTTGCATCCACAAAGCAAGAAGAACCTAGGCAGCTGGGCCATGACCTGGATGGATGGTCTATGAATTTCATTCCATCCATTACTGAATCATGGGTTCATGTTTCACCCCCTCCGAACAGCTTTGTGGGGAGTAACAAAAGATGAAACATTTCCTTGTGTAATCCTTTACTCCTGGCACTCACTCTCATCCTAGCTTGGTTCAGAAGCGTATTTTCTCATTTCATCCCCTTGTTACCTTCCACAATAACAGCCAATTTTCTCATTGAGCTGTTGGGCACAATAACTTGCATTGTGCCAGACGATATTTAGAATGTGTTGCGTGCACTTACTGACTTAGTTTGAGCTCATGTGTGTGACGAACAAGACTTTTATTCCCATTTTTCAGATAAAGATATTGAGGCACTGAAAGGTGAAGCAATTTGCTCAAGGACATGTAGCTGGTTACGGCAGCAGAGCCAGGACAGGAACCCAGGACTGTGCGTCCAGCAGCCAGCGGTGCCATGTCTACCGTCCTGTGCTGCCAAATGCGCCTCTGAAGGACTGGCCCAGTCTTCCCCTCCTTACCATGCTTGCCTGGCAGTAATAACCGAGACTCTTCATGGCTCTCCAGTCTACCCTACACACCTGCACAAGAGTCTTCTTAGTCCGCTCACCCTCCACATGCTCAGATGTCTTAACCACGTCCTGGGTCGCCCCAACCTACCCGGCTCATCTAGTTCCCTACATTCCCCTCTGCAAATCCCAAAACCCCCCTCTTCTCTGACGTACCCAGCTTCTCCCCTCAGTAGCTTGTTCTGTCCTATAGCATATTCCGGGCTCATTTCAACTTGTCTGTACTTTGCCAACATTCACGTCCCAACTCAAGTGTCCCCCTCTCCAAAAAAACTCCCAACTCCCCACTGGAGGCAAACTCTCTCCTCTGAAATTTCATAGCATTTCCCCACATTTTTCTTCTTGTCCTTAGCACTTTCTATATTGTGTTAGAGTGATTTATAACAGGTCCAATTCCCCTGCTATACTGAGAACTCACTTGGACATACCCTGAGTGTGATTCACCTAGGTTTCCCCTGCAAGAGGGTCCAATGAAATTCCTTGTCACAGTAGGCACCGAATGAGCATAAGCTGCCAGAAAGTACCTGTACTGTCTAGGGAGCCAGAGTTGTGCACAGGTGTAGGGGGTGGGGTCCCTGGCTCATCCTACCACCTCCCATCACGATGCTTTAGCTTCCAAGGACCTGAACCTTCAGGGGAGGAGGAGTAAGGATCTCTTCCCGAACCTTCATGGCTAGCAAATCAAGAGACCTTCTGAGGCCGAACCATTCTATGTAGGAACAGATTCGGTGACCTGGACAAGGCTTCGTGGTTTGAGAATCTGATAAAATATCTCTTTAATTGGAAAGTGGGCCTGAGGGTCTCCTTTTCCTTTTGGTATATGGGTGCTTGACTACAAGGAGGCTTAGTATTTTCTCTTGTATCCACGCCTTTACTTATAACAAGTCATTTCTTATTTCTATTGGTGACAGTGACTTCTTTTTCAGATATCTGCATGACAGAATTTCCCCAAACACAAGGCACATTCAGGCTTGTGAAGGAACTATCCATGGACAGATGAAGAGGCCTCTCCACGGGGACCAGCAGGGTGGGCACTGTGGGGGCATCATTGTGGGTGACCCCAGATCACCCTCATTGTAAAGGAAAAACGATTACAAAGGTCTCTGGGTGAAAACTTCCCTCTCTATTAACTCCGTCACACGCAGCTCTTCCTCCACCAGCCTGCTCATGGACAGTGCCTTGGTTCCCCTTACACCCCCCGCGGTGACTCATACGTGTTCTTATACATGTGGACGGTTCATACTTTTGCTGGCCATCATTTTTCTAACAAACTTTTCTATTTGGCCCATTTTTCAAATCTAAACATTCATTAGATGAAGCACATTTCCCTACATGCTGTTTAAATCAGGGATTCTCAATTTTGGAACTAGGGACGTTTGGGGCTGGTTAATTCTTTGTCCTGAGAGGCTGCGCATGATAGGATGTTTAGTGGGATCCCTGGCCTCTGCTCACTACATGCCATTTAGCCCCCCAACTGTGACAATCAAAACTCTCCCTTGCAAAAACTCTCCTCTGAGGTAAAATTGCCCTGGCTAAGAACACCCGGACGAGATGGATGACACAGGTATTTACTGCTGCTTCCCGTGTGCCAGCCATTGAACAAAGTGCTCCGCGTCTCTTGACTCGTTTAAGATCTGTAACCCTGTGAGGTAGGGAATCAGCCCCACCTACAGATGAGGAGGTGGGAACTGAGGGTTTCAGTGACTTGCCCAAGGTGACACCGCTACCACGTGGTCAAGCTGAGGTCAGAGCTCGGGCACAAGGAGGCTTACGCTCCTCCAGCCCCCACCTAGGACAAGTTTCTTCATTTTTTTTTTTTACTGTGATAAAATACATGTAACATAACACTCACTCTTTTAATCATTTTAAAGTTTATAATTCAGCAAATCAGTGGCATTAGGCACATTCACAATGTTCTGCTATCATTACCAGTATCTGGTTCCAAAACATTTCCACCAGTAAACCCGATACCCATTAAAGGGTCCCTCACCATTCCTTCCTTCTCCCTCCAGCCCCTGCCAACCACTGATCTGCTTTCTGTCTCTGGATGTGCATATTCTGAATATGTCTTCATAAATGCAATCATACAACCAATGGCTGTTTGCATCCACCTGGCTTCTTTCCCTTTGCATGTTTTCAAGGTTCACTCACACTGTAACAGGTATCAGTGCTTCATGGGTTTTTACTGCTCATGATAATCCACTGCATGCATAGAACACCTTTTGCTCATCCATTCATCAGTTGACAGACATTTGGGTTGTTGTCACCTTTTGCCTATTGCATGTAGTGCTGCCGAGAACAATTTTGAACAAGTTTTCGTCTGAAACACCTGTTTTTAGTTCTTTGGGGTGGTCACGCCATCGATGCTTTTAACCACCCTCTAAACTGCATGTCATCCAAATAATGTTTGTGTTAAAAAGCACCCCAGGGTCAGATGCCAGAACAATTCTCTTGCCCTTTGCCACCCTGTTAACAGCCCACAAGGCTGGTGTTCCTTGGTCTGGTTTCTAAGGAGAAGACTTTTGTTCTCCTGGGCACCTCCTCCAAAGCAGGCCCCACTTAGGATACTTTTGGAAGAAAGTGGGGCTATAAATAAATGGTGAAATAACCTCACCACCCTTTTCCTTTCCCCTTTTCCTTATTTATAAATAAGGTTTGGGATTCTATTTTCTTTGGCTTCTCACTGTCCTTCTTTCGCTGATTCAGATCCTGAGTCCAAGAAGGAAATCAGGTAACGTGAAGGCAGGGCAGGTGGCAAGCTGAAGCCCAGCAGGCGAGGCGGGGTCAGTGGGCAGGAGGACACCGGGCAGCAAAGCCAGATGGGGGACCACATACATGTCAGGTGCCCAGGAAAAAGAGGCCATGGCAGCAAGAGAAATAGCTTCTCCCTGGGCCAACATTAGTAACCTCGCGCCAGAGCCAAGAGAGGACCTCAGAAATCCATCTAACCATGTTTGGCTCGGGTACACGGCTCTAACCATCTACCTGGCTCAGTCCGGCCCACATTCTGCCTTATTAGTGCCCACTTCCAGAAAAGGCGATCGGCCATCAATCTGCCATTCAGGTCAACTCCAGTTCTGTGTTTCAGGGAGGGCTCACTGAGGATATCATCCTCAGTCTCTAGGTGGGGTTGCCCCACTATCCCCACCCCAGTCCTCGTGCTCCTGGGGGCCTGCTCACGTCTCTGCCTCTTGAGTCTGAGGCCCACTC